CACAACATTTATCTGACGATCAAACGAACTGTCTTCTAAAAGCCATTCATCAGCTGACGCGATCGCTTTAAAATATGGGCCATACAAAACTCGGAAGCGCTCCTTAGCTCCCATTCGGGACTATTTCGAACTATAGTTCGGATTGTTCCATTCAATGTTTGGAAATAGATTTTTATCTGTTCGTTCCGTTTTTAAATTCTATTCGTTATTGAAATTGCGCTTTCATTTGTTCCATTTTTGAAGTTTATTGTTGAAAGATTGTTATCGTATACTACTATTTTAATTAGAATAGGCAAAAATCTTTATAGATTCTTGTGTGGTATTTAATTTAAAAATAAAAGGGTTATTTCATAGTTTATTTAGTATGATGTAAGGGCAGGAAGTGCGCGCTTAAAAGACTGAGTTATCAAAAAGTTATGGGAAGACTATAGGTACTTCGTTTCATTTTATAAGAGAAAGGAACAAGCATGGTTCACTTGATCGAAGGCAATCCCAAGCCATATAACATCTCAACAAGATGCGCCGTCGGCCTATTATGGCATTGAATATTCGGAAACACACAGACTGAAACCGAAACGCGATTAAACTTGACCGGAATTTTTAATATTTCTACCAGCCGTTTAATTACTGATTTCTAGACGAAGTCCAATATGATTCAGTGTTATTATAAAATGATGAGAAACGTCGATGTCGGACCTGCTGGGGATCGAACCAGCGACCCGTTGATTATTAGCCATAGATTGCTACTATTCGACCTACAAGCCGGTCGAAATCCGTCCCTGTCTATTTACCAGGATAATAATAGCTCTATTTATTTTCTGTAACAGCTAAAGGCAATCTCGTGGCCCCATGACAGTCGATTAAGTGCATAGAAGTTATACCGGTTTCAAGTCAGTTTACAAATAGCCTATTCAATGGGACATTAAGGATTTTGGATGCGCGCCAAGCGACGCTCATACGCCCGTTTGATGGCTTCGCATTTAATAGCTTAGCTAATTATTTTACTATTTCATATTTTTTATTATTCGATGACCATAAAAATGATTTAGGAGAACGTCATAACGAATATTGTTCGTTAAATTATAAATTGTTTAACGTGTTCCGCAAAATTATACTTGTCAATTAAAAAATTAAGCTGTCATTTAGCATTTATGTAAGCAAATAAATTTCTTACTACAATTGGATAACGTTAAGAAGTGTAAAAAGTACTACTACTACTAAGTCTACATATAGTAACACTTGTAACATAATTTTTCACCTTGCAATTAATAAACATATCCTAAAATTAATAATTATTTTATAACAATTGTAGTTAAGTTACAATAATATAAATTTGCACATATTTGCTGACGGTACCCAATACAGTCATGTCACTCTTGTTACGCGGTAATTGATTGGGAATGCTTCTATAATTAGCGTGACTTTGTTGCTGGCTGTACTAACTTGGCACGTTTCTTACAAGGCGGAAAATCTGCATTGCTAACTTTCAAAACATATTTGGTTGTTCTTTTATGGTAAGTATAAAACTAAATAATGTACTTATTTTAATAATTGTGTCACCTAATGTATTTTAAAAAGAGGTTTACATTTAAAATTTACAAGCCTTTGCAAATCAAAATGACCAAGGAAAGGGACAGAAATCGTGTCCCATGCCCCAATAGCGTGCCCCCACTGTTACATAGCAGAACTTAAATATCTTGCACACGATGGCATTATATATAAATTAAAATTCTAATAAGATTGTGGACTTATTATTCGTTGGGCTGTTGACAATTCGAACCAGTGTCTTAATTTTTTTTATCTAAATATATTTCTATTTTCTTTCTACAAAAAAAAATAAGCCTACACTATACCTTATTGGCAGTATCGTGTCTAACCATTAACATTGTAGCAAAGCGATTCGCCGTGAAAAACATCCCGTTTTATCTCAACTTTGATTAACGTAAATAAGTTTTTAATATTGTTTTTATGAGTTTATATTCGATAATTAATAACAATTAAACGGTTAATGCTGCGCCGTAAAGTGCTTTGTTAATTTTATTACTCTTAATTAAATTGTAAACGAGTCAAAACAATTTTTATATTGCTAGCGTAGACTCGTAAATATAGACGGACGGACTCTAATGACCTCTTTATGTAGTTAATATTTTTTCGACTGAAAAGCGAGGTTATAGAAGCGATGAACTGTATTTTAAGTCGTCGCGATTTCTTTATTTTACAAATTTCGAAAAATAAAGCATTCAAGTGCATAATAAAAACAGTAGCTACTTATTTAAAATAATTTTTAGGTTATAATCGACCAATTATATTATTAAAAGTCACAAAACAAAACAAAATTTCTTTCCGGATTGCAGTTCAAACGGGCCAATTCCTTATATTAATATATTTCGCGTTATAGCCAGTTTTATTTAATTGTGCATTAATGACAAAGCAGAGTTTGGCCTACCCGTGACTACGGCTGATTGCAGCAGCCATGATCACAGGGAGACTAAGGATGGAGGGTGTCTCTGACGACAAAATAAAGAACTGCTACGCTAGCCATGATATTATAAATAATAATAAACGTCAAACTCCAACTTCAACTAATTTTTAAATTAGTTTGACAAATACATATCGCGTTATAAACCATTAAAGTGTTTTATTTAAAAATCTCTTACTAGATTTATTTCACTTGTAAAATAATATATTCAACATTTTCTGCGCGTGCGCTGTTAATGAATATAACACTTTTTTGCTACCCCTATTGCCTAGAGTTAATGAAGCATGCACTATGCAACATTTTATCATTACCGGCGGATTTCCATATAACTAAATACTTATCAAATTAGTTTTATTTAGCACAACGGTACTTTTGAAGTATTAATTACCAGGAGCTAATGGTTCGATAGGAGGTTGTGTGTAATAAAAGCTAATCTCGGAGAGTGTAATTACCTACGTACATAATTAAACTGTTCTTACTGATAAATGCTTAGTTATTTTCACGATAAACGAAATGAGGGACTGTTTATAACTAATGTTAGTAGAATATGTGTTATTCAAACTATGACAATACATTATCTTACGAATATATTCTACGACTAACGAACGGAAAGGTGTAGAATTAAATAAACACTTTTTACCGGTTTGAAACAGGGACTATATATGTTAAAGGTTTTTTAACGTCGGGCCATTTGAGTAAACTACAGTCAATATGTGTATCTCAATTGTTTGTTTACTATTGCAGTATTGCTGCCGTGGGGATACATAGATTTCTTAATGTTTTTTTTTTATATTTCACGATGTAGCCTTCTGTCCTTTTATAATGATTTATATTTATTTTATATGTATATGTAATTATTTCAAATAGTGGGATAATTTTTTTTAACAATTTAATTTTAGACGAGAAAATTTCAAAAAAGAAAACCCGAACTAATAAGTATCTAAGTTTATATTTTACATTCATTGCATTATACTTAAAATTTATTTTCTCATTTCTTCACTTATATCCAATATTATCATGCCTGTTTAAAAAAATATCCTTTTTTATTTTTCCTGTTTACAGGTCATCTGGCAGTTATAGGCGCCAATAAATAATTTAATACATTGCAGTTAAGCAATTGTATTTTTATTTTTTAACCTTAAAATAAATAAAGCCTTATCAAACGAACTAAAGGTCAGCACACTTAGTCGGATGAAATTGCGTGTGCCTTATCTAACGTTCAAATGAAATAATTAAAAAAACTGTTTTAAAATGCAAACACACTAATGAAATTAGTGCTTACTGTTATACTTGTAAAGTGTTTAACTGTATAATTGAGACGGTCATTTTATGGGGGGTTATTTAAAACCGTGCGATAAATCGCTCGACTTATAGAGACGAATGTAAAATTCTTACACACATTTTTGCAAGAATAAATTACAATTTATTCTACGTTTACAACTTCCTTTCACCAAATTTCCTTAATATTTAAAATACTACTACTAGTGTCTTTCACGTATATAACACATAAGTACGTAAACTTTCATATAAAACAATTGTGACAGTTGAAAACGTGAAATATATCAATCAACGTAAATTTTAAAGTACAACTTCATGTTTTAAATGGGAACTTAAACCTACATTTTCTTAGTAATAAAATTGATCACCTAATTGAGTTTCTTTATAAACAACCGCGTCTTGATACCGAATGTAATAAAGACTAATTTTTAAAAGGATTTACATAAATATCAGTGCGTAGGCGTCCTTAAAACACATTATAATAAATTGATATCAATTTGCAAACAGTATAGTAATGAATTGATTTTAGAGATCCGTTTAGGCAATATCGTTAGAAAATATCGCGTGTATTAGAATTGATGTCTTTAACAGTTTGTTTGAGAAATTTTTTTAACTAGGTTCCAACGGTAAAGTGTTTTATTTAAACATGTAACTTTGTCTGAAATATATTTTATTATTGGTTTGTCTTAATAATAACTGTACGGAACCCCTTAGTAAAAATAATGCCGCTCTTAGCCGATAGTTAAAGACTAAATTACCTCGTCCCGATGTTATCAGCGCGCGGTCGGATTCTCGATTTATTTCACGTTTTATCGACAAGTGCATTCTTTGCGCAAATTTACTTTTTAATTTGTTTACAATCGATTCGATGTTTATATCCTATTTGCCAATCTCTGACTTCTGATTGTAGAGAGTTTATTTTATTTCTATAATCGATTGTTTATCAATAACTGAGACTAGTCGATTTTTCTTATCCTACGGCTAAAGCAAAGTTTTGTCAAAATATTTTATAAAGTAAAATCCCGTTTTGACAAGGGACAAACACATTTCTGTGTCCGTTTCATTTATGGCTTTATTCAAAGTAGTCGATTAAACTTTTTTACTAAAGAAATTCTTCGTCAATATAACATCTGCTTCTATATGATAATGTTTAGTATGATGTAGTAATGAGTAGCGTGATTCTATCAACTCTGATATTGCTTAAAAACACTGATTGTTATACTATTAGCTGTTATCTTTACAGACCACAACGGCGAGCCACCGAAGCTAAAATGCAATCTGAGGAAACACAAACCTAACCGAAAACCAAGAACCCCGTTCACTGCGCAACAGCTTCGCGCACTAGAGAGCAAATTCGTCGACAAACAATACCTTAGCATCGCCGAAAGAGCCGAGTTTTCATCGTCATTGGGATTGTCTGAAACACAGGTAATTTGGTGGGAAGAAAGAGTTTACTCCCTTAATAGCTGACTGCTTGCTCGCTCTCGATCTAATCAATTTTCAGTCAGTCAAAGAGGCAAAATCAGTTCAAGTCATTATGAATATTATTTAAATGACATATCCTTTAAAATAAAACACTTTAACGGTTAAAACGCAAGAAATATTTAACTTGTATAAAAATTATTTTAATTACGAGCCGACGTATATCGCGTTTTAAACAGTGTTTTATTTAAATATGCACTACTCACGTAAACTACAGGCAGTATATTATAATAAATACTGTCATTTTAAAAATACGGTTGTAGTCTTCAGTTTAAGTTTGTATAAATCTTATATATTCTATAAGAAGGACGGGAATTATGTTTTTTGGATCACAAAGAATGGCTTTATTTAAGTTTAGAATCAATCTTAAATATTCGTGAAGCTCGTTATGAGATTTTATCCTTGACATTCCTTGAGTTAAGTGTCAAACTTTGTGTGTATTACCAAATATTAAAGAAACATTTCTTTACAGGTAAAGATCTGGTTCCAAAATCGGCGAGCGAAAGCGAAGCGAGTGCAAGAGGCCGAAATTGAAAAGCTAAAAATGGCGCAGTTCTCCCGCCACCCACATCACATGTACCCTCATCCCCTGCAGCAATACTTCCCCCACCATTTAATGGGGAGGCCGTTACCTCCCATGATGCCCCATTTAGCGATGCAGCCTCCTCAAGGATCACCTTCACCCAGTACACAGACCAGTAGTCAACAATAGATGAACTTTTCTTTTTAGTTTTAAAAGAGTGAGAGAGACAAATACTGGTACATATGGGAAATAGTAACTGTAAGAGTAACCATGAAATATGTTTGAATTTTAACGAATAAGGAAGAGATATATCTGAATCTCTTTTTCTCTTTGTCAGGCCCTGTTCTATTTCCGCTGTGATCGTCAACGGAAGTAGCAGACTATTCATGTTTTGTGAGTTTCAATTGTTTTTAGAGCAATTAAAGAGAGACGGTTATATAAAAATAGAACCATAGTCAAAACTGTGAAAGCTACATCAACTTGTGTAATATATGCGTATAATGATCGTTAAAATGTCTCAATTATTGTTGTGTATATAATATGGGAATAAACTTTTTTACTGGTTTTTATACCTTGGTTATCACAATACAAAATGACACACTTAGCATTTCCTCTAAAACTTAATTTATCATCCACCGGTACGTTGGTTTCTATATTTTAATGTATATGAACAAAGTATGTTGATCTGTATATATATATATTTTAATTGTAAGTTTAACTGCCTCTTTCATTATCAAACATGCATTAATATCTCAAACATAATCTAAGTGTAAATTATTTGTAAATATTAGCCTTAAATTAATCTTAAATTTAGTCGCAATTTGTTCGAAATGTTTAGTCCAAATTTATTTCAACTAAATCTAGGAATTATGTTATCGTCTAAAAGTTATATCAGTACAAAAGTGTCATCTACTTACCGATTGTAAATATACTGTGTAATATACAAATTTATACTTCTAGTGTAATAAAATAATTTTAATGAATTATTTGTCTTTTTTTAATATACGAGCCTTGACAGCTAGGCGAGATCTGCAAAAAATAAATAAAAAGTTAAGTTACTCGAATGGACTTACCAGTTGCCCTATGTGAGACCAGAGCAGACCTCTGGACCAGGAAAATGGCCGACATATACTTGATACTGGTTTCTTAATACACCAGTAAAGATTCAAAATCTGGTTATCATCACATCCCCGAAGAGGTTGACATTAGGAACAACCCCCATCTTTATTCCCTCCAGTCACCACGGCTACTGCATTCGATACGTCGTGATGTAGTTCAAATAAATTGTAAATCGGTACAATTATTTTATTTAAATATTTTTATTATTATTTTAATTAACTACTTGCGTAAGCTACACAATCGACATAAGTAGAAGTTTCTCCCTTTTACATAGTATCTATAGTGGTTGTAAGTAGTAGATATGTTGAAATATTGAAAAATTATCGTTTTTCAGACGACCTCTAATTAAACTTTAGAGGAAGCAAGTAAGAAGTCCCAGATTTGATTCTTGTATATTTAAAACGAGACAAAAGAGATTGGTTTGGTCAATTCCCCTGAATTCATAATACGATAACTTATTTTATCAGTCAATTATAAATAAAATATAGACCTAATTTAATTTATCTGTGGGCCATTTCAGATAAGCTATTACGTTGTCATCTGTGCGTGAAGCTAATTTAAATAATATTAACCATTAAAGTTAATTGTATGATAAGCGAGGTCGGGTCACTGAGATATTAGTCGAATGTATATGGTGTTTAGTTTTGTCCACAGACTGTAAGCCATTACAATTACGGTAGAGAATATAAATTATAACCACAAATTAATATAGGCACTGCAAAGGCACAGACTACTACTAGTTATTATCTTTCTAGTAAAGAGGACCAAGCTTATGATAAGCAAACATAAGATAACATAACATTTGCTAAATATTTTTTATAACATATTTGCTCGTAAAGTTGTTATAATTACACCAATTTCAATATCGTACTGTATGTCATTACGTACTGGTGCGATAATGCAATGTAAGAGGCTTTTTTTTAAATAAAGTTTTAAGATACCTACTCCGTCTAAAAATGAAAGATACTTTTAAAAATCTTAGCGAAGAGGTTTTATGTCAAAAAAGTGATCAATATTTTATGAATAAAATTAACTTTGGAAAATAAAATATTACAAATAAACATTTTATTCTTTACTTTAATTAATTTTGAGTTTTAATTAAAGAAAAGTAAAACAGATAACACACTGTATTATTTTACCAAAAAATATCCTTATCACTCGTAATAAAAATTACCTACATCGATGATTTGTTTGTTCCATTTCAAATTGATATTGTAACGATCATTAATGTAAGTTATCTTGCAATGATGTCAGTAAGCCATCATATTCACGATTACATAAGAATTAATGTTACGAGAAACGTTATTTATCAATTTAAACAATACTAAATTAACAACATCTACAAAAAATCTCATTCGGTTAATTGTATGATAAGATAAAGTTTCCTAAAGGATGTGCCCTTTAGGAAAATTCATATCTCATGTTCATAAACTCAATACCAATATGTATGTGTAATCGCTGCTCCTCAGTGTAGGGCATGGGGCCGATAATATCTTCATCTCTTTCACTAATAAGTCTATATGTAGACAAGAGGTTATAAAATCGCATATCCGTAGCACAAACTCTAAAGCCCGATTAATGTATTTATATCTCCTAAAACCCTAGAAGAATACCTATCCTAAGAACTGTTTAGAAGAAGCATGTCTGCCGAAAAATACCTGAAACCTCCTAATTACATTAATTTATTATTACCTTCACAATCAAATGATTTCTTATTTTAATTTGTACTTCTTATTGAGAATAAAAAAATTTAACGGTTTAAAACGCGCATAATTTTGTTATTATCTTATAAATTCTACCATGGCCGCAGCTGCTGTAAAGCTATGTCTGATTGTATTTAAAAACGAATATAATTTGCGTTTTAAACGGTTCAATATATTACACTTGAAGTTAATTACATTTCTCATTGCATAACGCCACAAAAGCTCTATTCCAAGAGCTTTGAAAGTGAACGAATGATCGAGCGCAAATGTAAACTTGTCGGGGCCATTAGCAGTTAATTAATCCCAAACATCGTACATAATCATTCTAATTAAAAATAACTTATTAATTTCGTTAAGCGCTTGTTCTTAATTACACGAATTAATCACTTAAATGTTGCGTGCTTGTTAATTTTCAGGCCACAGAGGTTCACTTTGTGAGCTAAATTGCGCGGTTTGAAGCGCTCTCGATGAGGGCGTGTTTACACTGGAGTAGCTTTTTCAATACTGTCAAAATAGCAGAGACTATAGAAGTTCAACGTTCAAATGGGTAACGTCTTTGTTTTTCTAATGTACACTATAATTCTTGATTAAATAATATTAGAACAAAAGAACAAATTTCTCAGACATCATTCAACAGACTTTTGAACAGTACCTACGCATAAAAAAAATATTTACTTTACAAAAAACTTTTAACTGTTTAAAACGCGATATATATTAGTAACAATTTATTTAAACTCCGGCCCGTCGTTTCGAATGTCTTGCAGGAGCCATGGTCACACAATAAACAATATATAATTCAAGCTTCAGTTAAGACAACTGCTTTAATCTTTCAAAGTTCACGACAATAGTATTTATGAAGGTTAAACTTAACTAGACAAATCGTTTAACCATTTATTTAATTATTTATTGCAACACACACAACCACAAAGTTACACATACAAGTTAACAAATACACGTTTTCCGAAAAAATCTTAATAATACAACTTTTAAAGATTAATCTTACACATCATAAAGTGTAATGGGCAGCCTTATTCGTATAGAGCGATCTCTTCCAGACAACCCTTGTGCAAAAAAGTATTATAATTTTTAATTATAATACTCTACAAATAATGAAGCAAGAAGCTCTTAAATTGCTTGTTACATATTATTATACAGCAAGTGCGGCCAGTGTACAGGTCCCCTTACGTCAGTACATACGAGGCGTTAAAGATGGCGGCGGGAATGAAACGATCTGTCATGTTGCCAGCTTCATTCCGGATTCAAAGCGATACGACTCGCTAATTGTTTTATTTGAATTGCTAGATGAGTGATTGTTGCGAATTTCAACATGCGTACCGACTACAAAGATAATCTATTAATATTATATGCTCACTGTGCAGCGCGTTGCCTAACAGTGCTTTGAGGGTCCAAATCCATATTTGCACCTTAGAAATTATTCTTCTATGAAGCATGAGCATGGAGTGCGTTGTCGGCCTAATTTTGCTTTGAATATTCGGATCGCCCCAGTCTGAGATCGCAACGCAATTAAACTCCATGGCTTTTTCAGCTGTGTGTATGGTAGCTCCATGGCTTTTTCAGCTGCATAAAAAAGGCAACACCGATGCGTCGTACCGGTATTAAAAACCGGAGCTTTATCGGTTTGGCGTATCAAAACTGGTATAAAACGTGAACGCTCTTGATTAAATTTACGACCAATATAATTGTTTATTGAGACACACAATTATATTGTAACAATTATTGTTCGTTAAAAGACACATTAAGATATCGTTATCGCGTCAAACGCAAATATTTGTGTTAATGTTTTATATAATGTAATAATTATTTTTATCCCATTAAGATTAATGATTCCACAAGTCCATATTATTGTTTTGATTAATGATAACGCGTTGGATGCGGAACGGGGACTCAATCGCCCGGACAAAAATACAGATATAGAAAATTACCTTCAGTTCTTGCTTCGAAATGCAACGAAAATGATGTATTAACCATTGTGACAAATAAGAACAACAGTCCGCTATAAAAGTACCTACCCTTGCCCAACGTGTGTGAAGTACACAATTCGTAAAAATGTAAGTGAATACTGTCTATAGTTTACGCGAGTAGTACACATTTAAATAAAACACTTTAACGGTTTAAAACGCGATGTCGTGGTGGCAGCAGCGAGTCTCCCCGTGACCACGGCTGCTGCAAAGCATCCGAAACGTCGGGCCGAAGTTAAAAATCATTTTCAAATAAGTTTAACTAATATTTCGCGTTTTAAACCGTTAAAGTGTTTTATTTAAATGTAAGTGAACTTTGTATCACCTTGTGTAACGTAGACTAGTATCATATTTTTAACGGTTTAAAACGCGAAATATACTAATTAAC